CCAGTCGAGCATCCTACAACTGCGCCTGCGCGCGTTCCCCTCTTACCTTAAACTCTTTGCTCTCCCTGATGCGCACGGTGACCTGGAAGACGTCACTAAGGGTGGGCAGCCCGAGCAGGGCGATCCTGTTCTCGGGCGTGTCTGGAATGGTGTTGGGCGGCCGGCCGTTGGGCTGGCCCGGCTGGCCCTGGGCCTTCTGCTGCTGCAGCTGCTCCTGCAGCCGCTGCATCTGCTGCTGCTGCTGCCGGTGCAGCCGGCTGCCCGAGTCGTCCTCTGCAACAAGGGGGAACGGGTGCAGTGAGTGCTGCGGGCGGGTGACACTGTCAGAGGCAGAGAAGGAGGAAGAAGAAAGTAAAGAAGTCGGGTGTTGGCATAGGAAGGTTTAATGAGGAGCGCGACAAAAATACAGCAAGGTTACAGAGGTACACATATAAGAACCTATCTACAGCAGTAGAGTCAAGCTGTCAGGCTGGGGTGACCTCTGGAGCGGAGCGCCCGCGAGGTGGGCCGCAGCGTGCACAGCACACAGGCGTGAGCGCCGGGCCTGCTCACCGCACGGGCGCCCCGTGGGAAATGCTGGCCACCCACGGGCCGCAGCGGCTGCAGCCGCGGCCTCGGCGCGGGTCAGTGCTCGACGCCCCCCTGCAGAGGCCCCCTCCCCCTCCGGTCAGCGGACAATGAGCCGGCTGCGCACCCCGCCTACTCGGAATGGATTCAGCCCCATGTAGATGGAGGACGAACTTCTCCAGCCCTGCCTTATTCCAGCCAAATAATTGCCCTCCCTCGCTCCCCCTCGACTGGTGTTCGCTTAAGCCCGCGCGCGCTCCGGGGAGGGTGGGAGGACGCACCCTACCCCACCGCGGGCCGCAAAGAGAACGCCCACTCATCGCGCTGGAGCCCCACCCGGCTGCCACATCCACGGCCAGAAACCGCCGCGCTCATGCTCTACTTGCGGCTTGCTGCCGCTCGGTGCGAACTTTTTCAGTGCGCTCTCCGTAAAAATCCCAGTATTATGTGCAGGAGTCGGAGTAAAAGTATTTTGCGGGGAGGGGCTTTCGCAAAAAAAAACACAAAAAAACACAAAAAACAAACAAACTCTGGACGAGCGGCTGCCACGGCTCTCTGTCGTGTGCAATGCGCGCGCACACGGTGAGGTCTGCCGCGCGATCGTCCCGCTCACCGCGATGCAAACACTCCTCTGCCCCCTCCCCTCTCTTTCTCTAGCCCCGCACCAACCATCTTAATATTGCTTAGGGCTAGAGGGCGGCTTACACTCGCAATGTGAAGGGACAATTTTGTTTCTAAAACTGGAACTGGACAAAGTGCTGTGTAAAAATGTACACTGTGGTTTTACCTCTCCCGGACGCAAGTTTCGGGGCGACTTACTCAAGTAACCAACTTTACCAGGCACCTTTCTGGTTTTGCATGTCACACTGAGAAAAACGAGAAAAATGTTTGGTCACCACGTCCGAAAACTTTGGTTGCTATCACTAAAATTGTGTTCTATCCGCCCCCTTAGTCATAACCATAGAATGTTCTATCGTGCTGGCTGAGCGTTCAGACGCTCCAACCACACACTGCAAAAAATTAGAGTCTGATACAGAACGATCTACAGCGTTACTGTAGATGCCGCTCTTAGTCACTGTACCTAGGGTACAGA